CCCACCCCACCCTAACCCGTATCTGTATGTGGCGAAGGATTACACATGAAGAGATCGTGGATTTTGATCGGGAAATTCTGCAGTGCTTGGCTTACTCGCCTGACTTAGTCGTTTCTAAATATTGCGTAATTAGTACACTGAAGCGCTACCTAGAAGAGAAAAAATCCAATGATTGAGGTCACCTCGAAAATTGGATGAAGCGCTTCTTTCAAAGCAAAACGCCGGATTTTTAAGTAAGAAATTCAGAAGTTGCCCAGAAAGGGGCATGTTTCCTAAATGTTCTTTGCTGATTGAATATTCCATTCAACAAAAGAAGGTGCAATCAAAATCTCGGACAGAGTGTCGCAAGATTTTCTGGACAACCCAATAATTGAGTTGGGGGGGGGGGGGCAGGCGGCGCGGACTTTACTCTTCCTCTCTACTAAGGCTTAGTCCGCGAGGCTACTGTATTTCAAAACTGCTACGGTGCGGCGAAATAGTACCGGCCCCTATGACTAACGATAAGTTGCCTTGGAATTGCAGACGAATAAAGCGTCGTGCCGGCCACGTGATGCCCCCATCAAGGTTAGCAACCGTGGCCATCCTTGTTACCTAAAATATTTTACAAGTAATTATAGGGCGGAAGTGGTGTAGTGGCAAGTGGCGCGCTTACCACGCGAGCGGTCCGGGGATCAAATCCTGGGTCGTGAGTCGCCCGGGCCAACCAAGCCTTCCATCCCTCCGGGGTCGGTTAATTGGTACCAGACTTGTCTGGGAGGATAAAAACACTGACTTGTACATCGGCTGGCCCCCGCAAGTCATTGTATAGGCCACATCGCATTCAAACGCCACTACGAATGTACAAATGGAAGTAGAATGCGTGCCGCATCCCAAAAAGGGATTGATCAACGGCAAATGCTTTATCCTTATCCTTTATATAAAAAGAGACCGCGTTAAAAGATCAACTCGCGCTCCGAAGATGTATCCGAAAGGTCCTTGCTATAGCAAATAAATACCGTTTACTTAAAGGAATCTTCCGCGGAAAAAGCTCCGCCTCCATTACCACAGAAAAACGATACCTTAGGCCCCTAGCCTCATGAGCATAGCAAAAAGAACGGAACATAAGCGTTAGTTTCGATAATACTAATCCTACACACAAGACAAAATGATCACTCTTTCCGTGGAAGATTCCTTTAAGGTATCGTTTTCTGTGGTAATGAGGGCGGAGCTTTTTCCGTGGAAGATTCCTTTAATGAAGTCTCTGTAATTCGATATTTTCTCCTTCTCGCCTGTTCTCTCATCTAGACGCTCAGTATTTCTTTCGTTTTAGCACTTGCCTCGCGCAAAAATCAAAAAAGAAATTCGAGGCTTTTTTTTTTTCTTCACAGGCGGTCGTCTTCGTATCTCTGTTTCCATTTTCGTGTGCAGAATTTGATCGTGATATGTGACCTTGAGTCCCCAGAAGTTCTCGACCTACCTGAGTGATAAAAGAACAGAACCTGGCCTATATTGATATGTACTTGTTATTTTCAGGCATAATAACTACGCTTTTTCTTCGTTCTGGCAATCGGGAAACTCCCCCCTGTACTTAAGCTTGTTCTTCATCAACGTGTGTCACGTAGTCAATAGTGCTAGCCCCTTTGGAAAAACCAACTCACAAAGGCAGTTATTCCAAAGGATGCGCTATGTTTTTGGTTTCAGTTTGCAGTGCCGTTTGCCTTGGTTGCATTGTCTGGCATTTTGCCACAAAAATGTTGACTAATTTTTTAGCTGCTGCAATCCGATGGACCGTCTGAGAAAAGACCGAAGCAGGTGGTTGTGGCACCAGCCAATCAACATTCGGAACGACCTCGTGTGAACACAGTGAGCCGCAGTGACCGCAGCAACCTCGGTGAAATGCGTCCAAGGAGGTGTAACCTATCATCCAGAAGAAACGTGAGACCATTTGATGACCCTTCAGCGTTATTTCCTTCACAATTTAGCCAAAACATCACATAAGACGTAATAACTTCGTATAGCATACGAAGAAAAAGTCTAAGCAAGATTCGATGGCGCGTGTAGGGGGCGGTGCATCAAGGCTCCGGCGGCGGATGAAACCCGGGAACTCTGCGTCACTGTCCGATTCGACGACACAGTCTCATGTCACATAGGGTCGGCGGACGGCCAATTTTCTGGCCGGTTTGCTGCACGTGGCTCAGGTCGCCAACAGGCAAGAGGAGTGTCACATCAATGGAGGGTAGGCTGTACCGGGCAGGCCCACCAAGGCGCTTTTTGGAAGGCGGCTGGACTGCCAAACTTTGGCTCCCATTATGGGAGGCACGTGAGCCAATCTGCGCCACTTATCACCTATTTGGGTACCCTGCCATCCCCACTCACGATAATCGTGACCGCTGCCTTTAGGTTCTGATTGGAATTTTCACCGCGATTGTTCTGAATATTCGGAACTCACTCAACTCCGGTTTCACGACATTACCAAGAGATAGATTATGGTCAATTGTCATGCGTATCCAATCTGGGACCCCTCGTCGCCATCACCACCCTGGAGGGGGGCTGCTAATAGTATGGGATATAGCACACATTTAGCTCGTGGCAAATGTTAAATCCTGCATAATTTCGCCCATGTCTTACAACTTTCGTAGAGAAGGTAAAAACACCGCCTTGCTTATCCCTTCCCCCCGTTCTCACGAACCCAAAAATGATTCACTCCCACAACAACACAGTCCGCTCAACTTCACGACCACCCTCTAAAGACCCCGAATTTGACCCCATAAGGCCGATGTCAGACTTTGCGAATCGCGCGATTCGCTAGCGTCTGCGGTCGCGTCGCGGCCAGTGAATCACTCAATTGGCTGGTACCGCAACGCGACCGCGGACGCTAGCGAATCGCTCGATTCGCAAAGTCTGACATCGGCCTACCAAAAACGACCCCGGCCATGGGTCAGATGCACGATTGTAACTAAAAGTGGATGGTTTAGGTGGATCTCCGAGAACAAATTCACCAAGAAATGCACTCCGGATGGCTCCATAATAATTCTCAATTGTCTGCTTCGATGATGGCAAGTCGACAATCAATGTGAACACTGAGCTGAAAGTCGGCAAAAAGGTCGGTCGCCTGTTCATCGCAGTCAGCTTTTCCTCGAATTATTCATTTCATACGTATACTTTCTAACAGAGGTTTTTCAGACGTACAAATGCTTCCGTAAGAACAACGACGAGAGAGTGTACTTCGAAGTGAAGACGGAATAGACGTGAAAGGATTTAGGTTTCTGATGAAGTGTGATTGATGTCATCCTCAACTATGACGGCTGTCACATTGTTTCTCGCTGTCTTGAATGGGTACTCTGGCCCAATGTCGGGTTTTTCTCTGATGCCTTAACTTATATGCATAGCCGCACCAATTATGCTGCAATAGGATCGTTAGTGGATTTGTCGCCATTGTTGGATTGAAGAATAAAGTCTTAAGTAGAGCTCGTATAGAATTCCAATCAGTCGAATAACGTGTTACGTGCGGTCGATTTCTGATGTAGGTATGCTCTGTTTTTTAGATATTGGTGCTCTTTTTAAAAACGAGAAGAGCGTCGGTGCAGACCATACACCACAAGTGACGACGGCCTCCACAAAATGTAAATGTTTTCTGCCAATGAAATGATTAGCCTGTTGCAGTTGTATTCTATCAGTTGTCACTAATTACAACTACATCGTACAGAAAAATCAGCTATCACTATGAATCACTGTTTACGATTCACTTGAATGCAGTCGTTACTTTTGTTGTGTGGTCTGCACTCGACGCACTTCCTGGTTTTCTGAAGCCGAGGGTATGTGTCTTTTGAGGCTTTGAAAAGCATTTAAAAGATACGCATCTGGAAATGCTCCCCTACTTTGATGACTACATGTTTTTCATACTAAAATCCGAGGAATAAGAACGAAAAAGTGTGATCCGGAATGTGGGCGGAGTTTGCGCGGTGGGTGGAGTGTGGGGGCGGGGCGTTTCACGTTTTCGAAGGCTTGAGAAGGGTCCGAGGCATCTTTGATGTCAGACTCATCAAAGAGTATAAAAACACAGAAACAATCATCGGCTGGCTTCTGCAAGTCAGTATCGACGGTATACATGTGAAGCCATATCACTGTCGGAGGTGGTTTTCGAGCGTTTATGCATGGCGTATCCAGGAAAGTATTATTTAACAGACATTCTGCTGCTCTGCCGTCGTTTTTCAGTAGCGATACAAGCGGTAGAACGGTTACAAGATTTGCCTGGGCAAAAAAATATTTAGCCGATGTCAGACTTTGCGAATCGCACGATTCGCTAGCGTTCACGGTCGCGTTGCGGTACCAGCCATGAGTGATTCACTGGCCGCGACGCGACCGCAGACGCTAGCGAATCGCGCGATTCGCAAAGTCTGACATCGGTGTTAGTGCGAAAAGGAAGGAGCACCTCGGTTGAGGCGAAGCGATTCTAGGTTAGAATCTTATGTCTTGAGAAGAGCTGGATGTCTCAACCAAATGTATCTCCTCTGATAATTCACTGGCTAAAGGAAAATCTGGAAAATCAGCATTCAAAACGTTAATAGCAGGCAGTGTGAAGGAGTGGAAGCAGCAACATTTAATATTCGGAACATTCAGTACTGGTAAATCTGATAACTAATTCTTTATTTTATAAGGCCGTGAATATTTCAAAGACGCCTTCAGTGGTATTTTTCTAGGCCAAGTTGTGCAAAAGATGCTTATAAGAATAAGCAATACGGTCAATGCTATTGCCAAGCTGCTCAGGAACACCGATGTCAAGCTTCAAAAGTTGGCAGCGACGCTCCGCTGATTGCTTCACTAACGTCTGCGTCCCACTTGTCCCTGTACTATCTCCTCTGTTTGTCGTCGGAGTCTCATTTACTGGCATGCACTCTTTTCGCCGTAGGCTTCGTGACCATAGCTCAGCCATAGAGGGGGACTTGTTCATTTCCTGGCCACATAGCACTTACATTCCATGTCTGAACCTAAACACCCTAAATACTGCCATCGTGGAACGTGCCTTTAACGTTGAATGCCGTAGAAGCGATGATTCCTCGCTTTCAGCCTATCTCACCTCAAAATCTCCGCCTCGTAATAACCGCCTTTGTTTAGTTCGGCGCCAGCCATTTGTTATCAGATCTGAACTGGAAGCGTCCAAGTGACTACGGTATTGGTCGAAGACCAAAGCGTGCCACCCTCAAAAGGTGTTCACTTGCCTTAGAAGCATGAGGCGAAGTAAGAATGAGCAGCACGTCCTGAAGATGGGACCATTTCCGGCAATCAGTATTTGGAGTAATCTTACTGGTACACTCGGGCAATCACTTATAGGAGCAACATTTACGAGACCATTGATGCTGAAGTATAGCCGGTTCCGTTCTCACTGGACCCAAGCTTTGAAATGGGAGTGAAACTGCGGCTGCTGAATCAATAAGTAATAATTAATAACCCCAACAACAATTCGAACCAGAAATCCTTTATTAGGAACCATGCCCAATCCTACTTCTCGACTAGCAACTTTAACAGACGTCTAAAAGTTGCGTTGTACGCAATTGCTACAGCGCATCGCAATTTACGCCTGACATCCTACATCGCGATCTTCCGCTTGACTGTTTGCGGTTTCCATTGTTTCCTCTTGTTTTCTCTGGTGATAGTTCTTACTTTTACAGCGTTTTGTTAAGGTTTCGAATTCGCTACTGAGCTTTTCGTTGGTTTTTTTTCCTACTGATACCCAAAGTATGATAGCGATTATATTTGAGAATGAATAAAGCTACGGAAAAGCTCATGGCATATCGAAGGGAAGCACAGAAAAAAGTTGCTGAAGTGCGAGCAAGGATGGAGGAAAATCATCAGAAAAGGTATTATTCATAATGGTTCGCCTAATTTCCTGCAGGTTTGTATGACGCACCGTCCCTCAGTACATTTCATAGCTTAGATGTATAGTTGCTTTTTCATGTGGGGAGTACGAGTAATTCACTACTATTCATTTCGCAAGGTTTATCTTTGCTTCCAAACTATATCTCCTTGATTTGGAAAAGGGCTGAACTTTCTCGAATTTGCTCAAAACGTTGAGCATAGGGATCGCTCAAGGTGTACCTGTTTTCCGAATATTTTCGAATAATATCCGAATAATAATTATGAGTTGTACTTCTGCCTCGAGGTTGCTAGTGAAGATTTGTCCTTGTGGCCAGACTAAGTCCCACTTTAGCTACTTCGTTGCAGAAGATGCCACTCACAATTACAAAACACAACGAAAGGTCGACCGCGTGCAGGGTGGAGAACGTGGAATTTGTTTCGATTTAGTTTTTTCGATAGCTTGCTACATCTGTCCTTCCACAGCTATTCCTGCATGCTCTCTGAACATTGGGTCGGCTATTCTTGCTGCGTTCTCTATTCTTCCTCCTATTCTCGCACACACTCTCCAGCCCGCGATATGAATGTGTTCTCGATTAGGCTCAGAGTCTCGCCCCGGGCGTATCTACGAATTCGTCAGGAGAACAATCGCGACGACCACCATTCGCCTGGGATTTGGCGTTGGCTGAATGTTGACATTCTTGATGTGCCACCGTTTTCTACTTGGCGAAGGTGCTACGAGTCTCATCCCCGATCCACTCTCATCGCCAGCGCGTTGTTTTACGCACACTGGGACAAATTTATTTTATACGGTGAGCGGTTTTGTGTTCATTGATATTAATGCGAATCCATCGACTTTGTATTTTTGTTTTTTTTTCTCATAAATCGAATTCGTTGATTGGACCCAGACCAACCAGCAAGAACAAGTTCCTACTTTCTTTTATCAGTATTAGTCTTGCACATTTTTTGTTCTCTTGTCAGCGAGTTGTATTACTGGGTTCAATGAGTAACAGAAAGAATAGCTCAAAATTTCTGCTTTGTGAGCCTGTTGTTGCAGTTGACGAAATTCTCCGCAACGGCTCGGAACATAATTGTGTTACACGCAGTGGCATCCTTTTCTCGTCATTAGAACGTCACCTACCACGGACGGGACGCATTTTTCGCTGTCTTGAAAGAACTATTTTTCAACTTTTTACTCGAACCCTACCTTTTATGCAGGGAGTTCTTTGAAATTCCCTATAAAGCGCCTCGTAGCGCATCAGATTCACACGAATGTTTTTTTGGAAGTGCGCGGGCGGTCTTCCAGCTTAGTAGCAGTCGGGGTCGATTTTTCGTATGATGTACCTCAGTTTCAATATCCGCTATACTTTAATATTTTTTGATGGTAATATTAATCAGAATGGTCACGAAAAAACTACACGAAAACGCCAAATTTGAGGCCACTACTCTATGCTTCTTCCTTGCTATTCATATATTTTGGTACTTGTGATTTCTTTTCGAGAAGGTTATTATTCTAAGCTATCCAAAAACAAAAAAAAATTTTTCTTCGTATTATTCTTTGATTCTTTTTTTGCAGTCAGGTTTTGTGATTGATGTTAAAAGCCTCAGCGCTCCTAGCACATAACTGTTATTATTATACATTGATATGTTGACATCAATCAATATTCAAGGAGATATCGATGTATCAGTGACGACTACTATTGCTGTTTAGTGGACCAAAAACCCGTGATGCTGATCAGTGAAAACATATACCGTATCCCTTCCGTAACTTCTGGCTGAAACAGGCTCGCCTAATGGGAGCGTGGGTGCTGATGCATTTTTACACAAGGGTTTCTTGAATTTCTCAATTCGCGAAAAGCTGTGAAATTCACATTAGGGCAATGATAACTTTGTTGACCGATTTCTCGGTTTGCGCTTGACCCGTTGTTGTCGTGAAGACGTGCTGTTGTTTGCGAAGCCATATGCATTTGAAATATGTGTTTGACTTGGACATGAGCCATTGTTTATCAATGCCATTGCAGGGTGGAGTTCGGCTTGGTGTTCTTCACTATCTCCATTCTTCCTGGCGATATGTCTGAGTTTGGGAAATCGACGCGAAGGAGAGGTATGAGGAATTCTACAACTGGGTTATAAAATCGTGTTTAACCTATGATATCTTCATTTTGTCGGCATCTGTTGGCCTAGAAGAGTTTGTTATTCCGCTCTTTTCACGGCGCTGCTGACTTGTTGTAATCCGTCATGAGTTTCCACTTGCCATTGTATTTCACTCAAACTCAACTTTTGTTTTGTTTCTAACATGGCATGCACTTATGACGGCATATGAATATGAAAATACGCCCTTTAGTAATCCTTCAAAATGTCATTTGAAAAATTCAGATGTCGGCATATTCCGTTTTTAATCCCAACTGTGAGAGACTGCTCGGACAAATGACGGCTGAGCACTTTGAACGCGATGTCTTGCGAAGACGGATTGATTGATTAAGAAGCCGGGTTCCGTGGAGCGATTTTCTGGGATTATCTGCTATCATTTGACACCAACAACCAAGCAAAGGTTTGTTTAATCCTTTTTGCGAGTTTATCGGCTTTTGAATTTCTTAAATTGAAATCGTATTGGATTTCTTTCTCTATCCTGCCGCCGAAATGCGATCGATCCATTTTTTGCCCTTTCTCTTGCTTGCTGAACGAGTATCACTTGGCTTTCATGCTTGCTCCGTGCCGCTTCGTTTCCAAAACGAATGACACAAATTTGATGTTGCAGAAATATTGTTAGAATATCGATTTTCCAATGACTTGCTGAGCTAGTCGCAGATGTTTTCGACATTAACGTCATTACATCGTTCACAACATCAACAGTAGATTAGTTGATGATTTCTTGGTGCGTGTCGTGGTTGCTATTACTATTACAATACTCTTCCACAAACCAACAAACAACGCCCATGCCCCATCACGATCGGTTTTATTTACAGTGGTGAACATGATGTTAGTAGGAATAATCTGGTTCTTTCCCTGAAGGTAATATGAAGTTTTTTTGAATTCGGATCAGCAGCCATGTCCTTAGTTCTTTTTGTTTTGTAATTTTTTCCTTAGCGAAAACCACTTTAATTATTTCGTTTACAATGGACTTTTCTTTCTTAATTAGCGCCGTTATGAGGCCGGATTCAATCCTCCCGCAATAGGTTGGGTGACGAAAATCCTTTTAAACTTCCTCTGTCTTCGCAAGTGGCATTGTCCTGATAGCGTTTAATGTAGGTCAAAGTAAGCACTAAAATGAAGAAACTATATCGTTAAAAACAAACAAATCAAAGGGATTTTCGTCCTTCAACCATTTGGGGGAGCATCGAATCCGGCCCATGGTCTAATGGGCGTATGTCGTATGAACAATCATGGGAATCTTTCCATACTGCATCTCTTCCAGTGGAGTAATCAAGCTGTCCCCTTGCAATATTCATCTGTTGTTTTCATTTTCATTTTCGTGTTTTTATGCAATGAGAAAATGACTTGAAAGTCCGTTTGCATTCGGAACTTGTCTTGTAAAAGCAGCGATGAAGCATATATTCGAAAAATTAGCGATCCTGGGTGGGCGCTGGGTGCATGGCGCAATTTCGCATTGGTTTCGCTGGTTCAACATAAATAATAAGTCTATGAATCTATGAATTCAAGATCAACGAAGAGACTGAACAAGGTAGATAACTGTCTTTTGATGGTGTATGGTGTTTTATATCATTCTCCTCTTTCTTTTCATATTAAGGTTCGCAAAATCTTCGCTTTATTTTATGCTAACTGCCCTTGTGATTGATTCTCTTGACATATGCCTTTTAACTATTGCGAACTCTGTATTAATCCCATTAAAATGGATCCGGTTGTGGAAAGAATTGAAAAGCGATCAAAGTGGCTCGAATGACGATCGAGTCGCATTATCAGAGCGGATGTGAGCGATTTATGAGGCGAAAAACGACAAAGGAATGAGAACTCTCACAAACGACCAACAGATGACATCCTATTGCGGCATTCAAATCCTAACAAGAACACCACCCCACAAAAACACAACAACTTGCGTGTGCAACGTTCCCACGCATGTGCCACTCTCAAGTAAAGCAGTACTCGCGCGACTCGCCATAACACGCAGACAACAAGCTATTTTTTCTGGAAACATTTTTTTTTGGCCAGAGTTAGTATTTGATGTGATCTACCGTACTTCATCTGTGCTAATGTGTGGTGCTTTTTTGGGGAAGTTATTGATTTTTTAATAGGAGGGCAAGAGCTTTCCAGGGAAGATTGAGGTGTCTTACATCTTACCTGATTTGTAAACTGTCGTGTTTGCTTTATCTTTTCCCTCGTGATAGCTTTACAAAGGAAACACCTGTTAGTTCTCTTTCCCTCTTGGTTGAGGAGATTTTCTGAGAGTGACACCTCCTTCTGCGCAATTCTTTGTTTTTTTATTTTTTCTTCCGGCGCTAAGCCATGCATGAGGGATAACCCGCGCCAACTTCGGGCATAATCCTCAAAGCTGTGGACGAAATAATTGAGTTTTGCCAGTGTCGTGACTCTTGACTAATGACCGCGGCGGCGAGTGACGTACGTGGTGTTTGATCGCGAGTTATCCACTTCGCGCTACTAATATTCTTATATTGTGCTATGCCTCTTATATCAGTTATTTCATGAATTCGTTCGCAATATTTTTTTTTTGAAGTTCGAAATTAGTAACTAATGCGACACAGTACACTAAGTTACATAGTTAATCATGTGTGGTCGTACTGAATGAGTTATGAAAAATATTAAACATACTCGTCTTCTAAAAAATAAGACCAACCATTATTCAACAAAATAAGAAAATAGTAAAGTATATAAGGAAATAAAAACAAACGACCTGGAATGATTGAAACTTTCTGGCTTTTTTATGCGTGCTTATAGGTTTTTTTGTTTCTGAGGCAGAATATTCCATGTACTAAATGTATAAAAACAAACGGATAAAAGAAAACCCGAAAATGAAGAAACATGCGAAATCAAGAGCCGATATCAGATACAAAGAAGATACCGCAGAGAAAAATAGAGAATAGAAAAAATAAAAAACAGAAAAAATAGAAAAGAATTAGCTGGCCGCGACGTGACAGTACTAGCTAATGCGCTTGAGTCGCAAAGTCTGCCTAGCGGGTCGTGCAATTTACTGTCATGGGCCAAAAGAGCGCCTGTAACTTCGAGTGGATGCGAATGCGTGGCGCACTCGCTAGGGAAAATGTTACATAAAAAAACAAACAAGAAAACAAATAGAAAATTAAGGATAGATAATATAATCGTAATCACTATTATAGAGGGATTAATTGCATAATATATTAATAGAGAATAAAGAGCAAGATGAGAAACTCAAAATATAGAGAAATAATATATAATATACAATATAGCAAATATGGATCCGTTTCACGAGTGTGCATCCTATTTCATTGGCTAGTTAGTCTCTTTTGTTTTTATCCCTTGAATTTCTTGTGGGCGCCCGCATTTTTCTCCCGGCGGTTTCCCTGATTTTAGATGACTTGTCCTGTGGTTTTTACCGGTGTTTTTGGCTAATGGCCCGGAAATTTGAAAAAGTTACCCGCTCCGCGCTGAAAGCGTCGCTGAAAAGTCTTTATGAGTGAAACTTTGACGAAAGGAATTGGGTAGCGCAGCGCTGGTTAAAATTTCACGATTTAACTGCGGCTTTTTCAATGGCCCTTTTGTTTGCACAGCATGAGCAAACGCGTCGAGCGTCCCGCCCTTCTAAAGCTGCTCATCATAAGAGATGGAAACGGTGTTGCTTCAATATACAAGGTCAGGCATCCTGACAAGCGTAGTGCTCAGAGAGCAGTAATCGCTGGTTCGCCATAATCCCCTTTAAAAGTCAGAAAAGACACTGTGGCTGTGGATACGTTTCACTTCCCCACAAACTGCAGCTATGTCTTATGGTGGTCAGTCCATAGTGTAGACGTGGGTTCTACACTTTTAACTGGCAGTTCTGGTTTGCTCGATTGATTGGCTATATAAGTTCTTGCTTGAGCGTAAATGGTTCAGTAGAAGCTGGTACCACCTAGCGCGTGTCCGGTACACGCGGGTCCGGGGAATCGAATCTGGTCGTGCTTTCGGCCGGTCTGGTGATGGGGCGAATTTCGGATCAAACGACTTGGCGCAACCAAGCCCTCAACCTCTGACTTTCTACGGATACAGATGAATGAACCAGACTCGTCTGGAAAGATGAAAGCAGTGACTTTAGATCGGCTTGCCCCTTCTTCAAGTCACTGTATAGGCCTAGTCGCACAGATGCCACTACTCTGAGTATGAGTATAGTGCGTGGCGCACTTGCATGGCCACTTGTGAGCATTTACCTAAAAACCCAAATTCCATTCTCGTATTGCCCGCACTGCATGGAGTGGTAACATCAACAGATATGGAGGCACTTTTGATGGCGGGATAAATGCGCGGAGCAGACCGATGTATTGACAATTTGATGGATTTGAGCGCTCATGTGTATTCGTAGAGATGAAATGAAGTGTTCCCCCATCCATTTCCCTCAAGTTGATTCCACGTCGATTGGTTGGAACGCACATCCCATTGTTATTTCAGTCAGAATCGTTATGGTGGTTGATAGGTGATTGTCTGTTTCATGATTAATAGTGGATATTCGAGTGGAAAGACAGTGTTTTCATCCCTCCAGGCGAGGAGAGCGCTATTTAGACAATGTCTGATAGCTGCGCAGGGCTTGGCTTGCTTGGGCTTATTCGAATTTGGGACAACGCCTATTACAAGAACCTTATTTCGTCTAAGGTGATTTAGAGCGTAACGATGAAGTTGGTGCCGGTTACGGGCTTTTAATATCAGTCGTTTGGGCAGAAACATCTGTACCTAATAAGGAAGTTTCAATATAAATGGCTACATTTCTTCAATTTCATTTATTTCTCCCAATCTCATTTCTTCGATTTTTTAAACACTTTGTTCTTTCGAATTGCTGATTACTGTGTAATGGTTCGTCTGCCCGAAAAGGGCCATAATCTGGTGCAAGCGGATCCCGGCCGAGGCGAAGAGTCTGGCCCACAGCTCACCACCTTCACCATACCATTTGTGATATCTGTCAGATTTGGGTGCTGGACTGATCTTTTATATGCTGGCTTATTGGCCGATGTCAGACTTTGCGATTGGAGCGATTTTGCACCAATTGCAGGAGCGACGGATCGCTTGAGCGATGCGAGCGACGGGAGATTTACCCCGCCGATACCGATACACACGGCGCCGCTCGGGTAAATCTCCCGTCGCTCGCATCGCTTGAGCGATCCGTCGCTCCTGCAATTGGTGCAAAATCGCTCCAATCGCAAAGTCTGACATCGGCCATGAGTTTTCGTCTCCAAAGGGAAGGCTTTAATTATAAGGCCTCAAATGGTTTACCTATTGAGGGCAGAGCTTGTGATGTCGCTCAACCCTCAGGCTTCATGGCTCGGTCGTTTTCTGGTCCAAAT